ATTTACTAACTGCTTGTTTTCTTAAAAAAAAAAACTAACACTTGCTTCTCTAATCTTTTTGCATTCTATCTATTTGTTTTCTTTTTATTTATTATACAATTATAATTCTGACTTTCTGACTTCTGATTAACAAAAGCAAAAAAAGGCCTCTAACACTAGCTTGCTCTATTCTTTTTCTATTATATCTGTTTTCTTTTTATTACGATAAAAAAAAAAACCTTGCTACTGTGTACTGCATTAAGCTAACTGAGACTTATAGCACTTGCATGTCATTGCTCTTTTGTTTATTTTGATTGCTTCCATTGTCCTCATTTGTAAATCGCTTTGGATAAAAGCGTCTGCTAAATGTCTAAATGTAATGTAATGTAAATATAAAATGGTGTGCAATGCAGTTTATGGCTGTATTTGACGGGTTTTAAAGAAAATGCATCAAAACTGTCTAGCTCCAACATTCCATATCTACAAGCAATGAACAGTAAATTTGATTTTATACTGTACACAGTATTTATGGAATACTATTCATAAAAAAGAGACTTGAATGGTGCTTCTTCTAACAATACTTATGAGACCGACGTTAGTTGTCACAAGGGTCCAAAGTGAGGAAATGTGTTTTTTTTTTCTCTATCAGTGGTTTCTAGTTGAAATTGGACTGACAATTATGGTGAATTATGACCTCTAATCTACATCAATCCCCACTGTTTTCCATGCAATTTTCCAAAAAACGTCTCTTTGAAAAACACAAGTCAGGTAAAAAGCAGAAAACCTTTACTGTAACTTGTCAAACACTAAAATATGAAAAGAACTTCTGAAATTTAAAACTAAAAGTTTACTCAAAATTGAGGCTCATTTTCTGAATCACCCTAGGAAAGTTGACTCTTTCTATAACATCTGTCAAAGGTTGTTGTTTTTTTTTTTAATCTCACTTACTAGTCTGTGGCAGTGCTGAAAAGAAGTGCGATAAATCCATTTTACCCACACAAGGGTTTGAGAAAAGGAGGGACATGATGTACAAATAGCATTAAATACTATATTAAGTATAAATGATATTAGATATTATTGCAAATAAGTGCAAATAGTCACCACAAGCAGTCAATTTATTTATTTTACTTTTTTTTTTACAATTATTTATTTCTGTGTGTGTTTCTGCAGCTAATTTTGAAAATTAAAATGTGGGTCAAACTGACCCCCAAGGAAATAGAAATAACAATAAAAATAGATGGGATCTATTCAATTTCATATTTTATACTTTTTAGTCTCTGATACGCTTCAATAGAGGTTTTCTGTTTTTACATTAATCTTAGGTGATTTACAAAGTGTCAACTTTTAAAAGATAACCTACCCTGGAAAAAAAAAAAAAAAAATATATATATATATGCTCCAGTCCTCTCTATACATCTTATATCATGTGATGGGACTCATTAAAAACACATCAAATCACTTTTTATTGCAACTTTTAAAAGTTTATTCTTGTGGCGGTTTCTAAACATTGCTTGTGAACTGGGAGCATCAGTTAAAATCGTTGTTCGAGAACAGAAAAAAAAAACCGCATGCAACCATTGTAGCCTCCAGCTCCTAGGCGCATGGCCACAGGCGACTGGGTTCACTTAGTTAAACTGAAAGTAGAATCAAATAAGATCATACATAGGAGATAGGATTCAGCCTTTGCAACACATTGAAAACAGATACTGAAGAACGGTTTGACCTTTGGAACAGAAACAAATGACAACAACAATGTATTATTCATAATAACAGGCATACAACCAGTGACCAAACATAAAATTAAAAAGTCACAACTACAGCAGTTTTCTTACTTTTTTTAACAGGAAACCACTTATAGTATAAATGTTCTGAAAGATTTGAATTTGTAATTTCCTAGAAATTGCAACGAAAATGAGAAAGGTTACAGAGAAACAGACAGAGCGAGAGAGAGGTATTAAGAAACAAAGACTCTATGCAGAGGTAGAGTTCAGTGCACATGGCTAAAACTCGCCACTCGCCTGCCTACTGCCTGCTATCACTAGGACTTGAGTTTATAACACCGTCTTCAGATCCAACGCTGGGCCACATACTCACAGAAAATAAATAGAATAATACAATCTTCAAATGCTTGTTATCAGTCTTTCGATTCATGATTCCGTTTGTCTCCCCAAAGACACTTTTCTTGAATGTTTTCCCTGATTTCAAACAGTTTCCAACACTCTTAAAATGTGCAAAGGGTGTCTAAAGCGCTGCCATTTGCAAAGAACAGATCTTGCTTGAGAAGAACTTTGGTCAATATTCCTTTATCTTCAGGAAATAAACCAAAACACAAACGTCTGGGTTCACTGCCTTAGTTACACGTTTTGTCTAGTATTATGTCTCTGACAAAAAGTAATCTAATCTAAACACGAGTACTTTGCTCACGGAGTGATTCTCACGAAACCTTTTAAGAACATGTCTGGGTCATATTTCATCACAAAATCAAAAGAAAAAAAA